GGCGGGGTTTGGGGAGGGGAGGGGCCTCAGCACGGCACCATGCCGTAGAGCCCGCCCTTCAGAGCAGCCATTTTCTCCAGGGGAGCTGATCTCTGTCAGCTGGAGACCAGTTGCAAAAGCGGGACATCTCCAGGCCCCACCTGGAGGCTGGCAACCCTATTCTACACTGATTCTAAAATCTCACCGAAAATAAATAAATTATGGCTGCTAGGCCGCAATTGATGTCACTGGATACCCTTGAAACTCTCTAAACCACTGAGTTGGCCGCATTGTGTAGGCCCAGAGTGGCTGAAAAACTGAGGCCTGTTCAGCCTGGATCTGGGTTGCAACAGTCACTGAGCTGGGCCAGAGCTGAGCTTCTAGGTTGGGCCTCCGTTTGTGGGCCGACTGAACTCCTCCGGCCGCCCTGTCCTGTTGACAAAGCGTTTCCCCACCTTGGTAGGTAACGTCATATCCTACAACGTCTTTATAAAATGGAGCTTCCAAAACGGGGGGATTTAAGGAGCAGCAGTGACCAACCACCCAGATTGGGGGTGACGTGAGATGAAGCCACTGTTTTTCTCTTCCTGGTTTTGGTGGGCATGATTAAACTGACAAAGGATTTTATGCCAGATAAAACTGACTTGAGAAACTCTCTCAAATATTTCCATCTTTTGTTTTCCCATCGAGGGGTTTGCTTCTAGCTTACTCTCCGCTTCACTCTTTCGGATCGTGATAAAGCCTTTGAAAGCACTGCTCTGCTGAATTATTAAATTCTCAATGTTTTTTTTTTATTTTCAATGTTTAACAATTCTAACATTTCAAACAGTGAACAATTAATCTTTTAAATTCTGATATCAGATACAGATGTGTGTTTGTTTCCTGGAAAATTCGATGTGTATTTAAGGTTACTGTTTCCCGAGGAGGGTGTGTGTGTGACATTGACACAGGATCCGGAGAGGAAAAGGAATTTTAGCCCCCAGGAATCTGGGAATGCAGACCTATTTATTTATTATTTATTTGTTTGTTTGTTTTTTATATTTATACCCCACCCTCCCCGCAAGCGGGCTCAGGGCGGCTTACAAGGGAGCATTAATGCTCACGCATAAAAACACAGTAAAACAGAATAAAACAGTATGACCGCACAGTTATTTCTGTAGTCTAAAGCAATGGATTTAGACTGGAGTAGCCCCAAACTGTGGAACCCTGTCCCCTGGACGTTCACCTGACAGCATCAATTTTTAATTAATAATAAT